TTGATCAGTTAATAAAGGGATAGTTGCAAACAAAACATACATCATGTTTGTATATATAACTATCCAAGGGTATATTGGTAAATTGGATAAGCTTACAACTCCTTCAACATCATACGCTAAAGATCTTTCCATTCCATATTAAGGATCTTTATTAATTAACAGGTTACAACCAGTGGGAACCACGGGTAAAAGATTTAGGAAAAACAAAAAATTTTAAAGTTCTTAAAACAATTTTTTTGTGCTTTTTATACAATTATAATAATTCTTTTAGGGTTTGATAAAAAAAACATCGTGTTTATGTAACCGTTTTTTATATTAATGATCACTTTAATTACCAAAACAATAACCAGGTGACAAATTCTAAAACAATGAAACTACATTGCCCTTTCATGGAAAAAACCATAACATGTGACAGAAAACAAAAAAACAAAATCAAAGTACGTTGCCATTTCATTCAAAAACACCATACAAGTGACAAAGAACTTAACAAAATATTTGTTAACAGAAATGGTGCCTGTGTAAAAGATCACATAAATGGTCCGTGTTTAAAAATCGTATTTATGGATTGAGTTTAATTTCATTGACAATAGGCAGGAATGTTGGAAACGTAAGGAATAAAAGGGTAAAAGAGTAATTTGACTTAGCATTTCACAAATACCATTGAGTTGATATGTCTACAATTTGAACTCTTTTATTAAGGTAGGGATTAACTAAATAAGATGTAGTAAAATTTTATAAACAAAAGCAAGGGTGTATGTAGTAAAATTTTATAAACAAATACCATTGAGTTGATATGTCTACAATTTGGACTCTTTTATTAAGGTAGGGATTAACTAAATAAGATGTAGTAAAATTTTATAAACAAAAGCAAGGGTGTATCTAGTATGTCTAAAGGAAAGGTAGGTCCTAGGACCTACCTAAATTTTCAATTTCATTTACAATATATATTGAAGAAAAATTAGAAACTACCTTAGAAAAAATGAAGAACCTACCTTGAGTTTGTTTTTTAAAAAAATATCTTAAAAATCATTTTAAAAGAAGAAAAAAATAAGTTATTGGGGTCAATTTGTTATTTTAAATTGTTGGATTGATAACAAAAAATTAATCACTCTTAATCGACACTTTCAAAATATCAATAAATAAATAAATTGTTGTAATAAAAAGAAGCCCACATGCTACAGACTCTCCCTCTCTGCTCACCGTTTTATCAATGGACTGATAATCAACTAGTTTTTCATTAAAAACGTACTGCTTTTTCGTTTATATTTCAATCGTTTTGTTAAAAAATTTAATTGGAGGTGTCTAATCGGTTTAACAGGTTGAATTGATTGGTTCAGTTTTTTAAGGTATGCAACCCGACCCGACCCAACCCCACACAAGTTTTGTTGAATTTTTTTTATTGACTTCATTTAATTTGGGAATCACGTGATTTTTTGGTCTAGATTCGCCACTGAACAAAAGTAGTGCATAAAAAATCAAATTATATTTACCCGTGCATGACTTCGGTGGTAAAAATAATACTAAGTGTCATCTTATCTAACTCTCTGACACCTCTAAGTAAACTTGTCAGGAGGGCAAATTCGGAAATTTACATGTTCCTACTCCTTGCTGCAATTATTGCTATGTACTTTAAAAGTGAATCATACTTCAAATCATATTAGGAAACATTTTTTGAATAATTTCAATTCTCATTCTATGAAAGGTTATAATTTTAATTGATTGCTTCACATATGAAGTAAACAACAATAACAAATATACAACAATTATTATATAAAAAATATTTTAACCATCTGTGAAGGACAATCCAGTCAACCCTAAATGTCTATTCTTGTGTATACATTTAATAACTTTAATAAAATTTTAAATAATCAGTATTCATTAAAGTCATAAAATCATTATTTAATGATAATTTTAATGAAAATTTAAATAATCAATATAAAAGTCTAAACAAAAATTATCTCTTGTTAATTTAATAAAACTTTATTAATATTTGTTTTTTCATTACCATTTTTAATGATCGGTGTTTTTTTAATTACCCGTGGTTCCCACGGGTTGTAACCTTATATATATATATATATATATATATATATATATATATATATATATATATATATATATATATATATATATATATGTTATTTTGTTTCTAGTAACTATTGTGTGCTAGAATGCACGGATCTGGACCATCGGATGAAATATAATTAAAGGTCATTATGTGAGGGTTTGTGATATTTGAATAGGATAACATATACCATATAATCACACAAATTTCAGCATAAAGACACGTTAGTCAATTAACCTATATTAAAAAAAGAAAATTTTCGTATTTTTAGGAATAATTAATTTCTTTATTTTTAAAAATATCTGAATATCTTAAATTAATTCAAATTTAAAAATTGGATTTTATTCTACCATAAATTAGTAAATATATTTTTCGATTTATTATGTCAGAATGACATAATGTTAATCATAAACTAGAAAATACATTCTGAAAGAATACACAAAATCAATTATTAAACTAATAATATACCAAATAATTACATTGTATGATTGTGATTCATTGAATAATAACAACATTCTGAAAGAAAAAAGAAAAAATAAACATCAAAATCTAAAAAAAAAAACACTAATCTATTCTGAAAGAATATTATTTTTAAGCAACACTTTATACATTGTAGCATAACACATTCTAGTATAATACATTCTTGTTCTCTATGTTTTCTTCCTTCTACACATCAATGTTAGCTTCTTCAAAACATAAATCCACAAAAAAAAAAAAAAAAAAAAAAAAAAAAAAAAAAAAAAACATAAACAAGTTTCAAATGCATTCTATAAGAATAAAACTATAAATTCTGACAGAATGTATTAAAGAGTATAAAGTTTGATAGAATATAGTAGAAAATAAAAACTATATATTCTGACAGAATTTAGTAGAGACTAGAAAGTCAACCATAAAATATCAAAAATTCATTATCAATTAAACAAATATATTTGTTGTTAACAATTATTTCTGACACATTCTAACAAAATACATTTATATAACTAAATTCTAACATAATACATTTTAGAATTCAAGATCTGGGATTGAATCATCAACACATATATGCATCCATTCTTATAAATTTTGAAGTTTGCTATATAATTATAAAAAATAAATAAATAAATAAATTAAAAAAAAAAAAAAAAAAAAAAAAAAAAAAAAAAAAACTAGATAATAGCCAATATTTCTTATAATTCGATAAATAAAATACTAGATAGCAACCAATATTTCATATAATTCGATATGGAAAATACAATAGATAAGTAAACATATATAAATTAAAAGTTTTTTTTATGCGACCATATAATAAACAGATGTTACCAATATTCTTTTAACGACAATACTAAGATAACACATAATTGATTTTAAACCTTGATTTCTTGCCATTCACATTAACAAATATAATAAAATAAACAAAACATCATAATATGTGAAAACGTTCAAAGTTAGAATTCCAAATAACAGACAAAAGTGTCGCTTGTTAAATCATTGTTTAATTTTCTGTTAATTAATATCCTTTCTACTACTTTTCACTTAGAAGCATGATTTTTTTCTCTCATTATAATCCTATGCTTTTGAACTCAAATCAAATAACATGTTTTTCTCAAACGAAATTCCATTGCAAAATCAGAAATCGAGTAAAACACATACCAGAGCTAAGAATTAATGAGGGAATCCTTATCTGTTATCCGACAATTGTTGTATTGGTGTACGATGACAACAGCGGAGACGGGGCAAGAAGAAGCGGCAATGGTGATATGATGCCAATAATGATGATAAACATGACGAGAGAGATCGATGGCTTATAGGGTTTTTAAACTGATTTCTCTAATTTTAAAGGATGTTAAAGGTTTTATTATATTTAAAATCACTATTATACCCTTATTTATTTAATAAATAAATAAATAAATTGCTAATTTGTGATTGATGCATTCATATACACAATATTTACTAAAAATATTTGAACCTATA